CGACTTGGTAAAACACATTGTACTCGTGCCCTCATTTAACGGTGTTACCTCCTAAGACTAACGGATACAACCGATCACGGTTAATACGCGTTAAAATAATATGTAAATACTATCAATTGTAATAATGTTAATGCTAATAATAATAATAGATTAACTCTTTTAAATCAAAACCTTAATTTAATCATTTAAACGGCAAAGAAAAGTCGTCTATTAATAATCTATACAATCAATTTAATGATATATTAATTTTATCCGATGATAAATTATCTTATACTAATCAAATTGTACATAAAATAATTACTCCTAATGCTCATCCAATTAATATAAAACAATTGATACCCTATGTGTCATAACGAGGAAGTTGATAAACAATTAAAAAATCTTTTAAAGCAAGGTAGCATTGAAAAGTCAAATAGTCCATGGAACTCGTCTAGAATTCTAAATTTTATAAAGGAATATATATATATTATGTTTTGTCTGTTAATAAATATTTTTTTGATTTGTTTTATACTCTTTTTTTATTTTCATAAAAATTATAAATTAATTGTTCAAAAAAAGAGTTATATGAAAGATTAAATAATCTGAATTATTTACCATGTCAGAAATATTAATTAACAATATTTTTTAAAAAGGCACTAGTATAGAATTTACTCAATACCTACAAAAAAGAATGAACCAATAAGTTAATACTTATTTGAGTCATTATGATATCTTAACTATATGCTATGTTAAGTGGAAAAAATGATACATAATAAATGTATTCGTAAAAAATTATAAAGTTATGTTTATGAATAAATGAAATTACACCTTTCAGAAAATCCAGATACAAAAATAGTGCTTATTATTTAAAAAAAAAAAGTATAAACATGCAAAATCATGTTTGAGTATCGTATTACTGGCTTGTTAAATTAATTAGATTAGAAACACGATTTTAAGTAAAAATTAAATTAAAAGCAAAGTATCAGATATCTTATTGTAACAAATTTTAAAATTTTATATTTTTCATAATTTCTGAATGTTTTAAATTTATAATACATGGTTTCAAAATAGGTTATTTTATGTATTTATGTTATTTAAAATATGTTACATGTTTATATGTATGAAAACACTATAAATTATTTATTCTATGCATTATTGTTTTGTATTAACTTATATCAGTTTGCTGTGTATCCTATTGTGACTCAAATGTGTTATGTATTAAAATTTTTGAAATATTATTTCAGATATTATTTCTCTTTAAGGGCGATGGTGTCGTGAACCCATAATTATTTGTAAATTTTAGTTATAAGCAATTTATATGCAACATTATAATTACTATAAAGTATTATAGTATTAATATTTTAATGATTATTTAATGAACAATGTAAATATAAAAGGGGCCTTGACCATCTTCTCAGTGGTTAGTGTTCTATCAGTGAATGTTATATTACAATTAGTTATTACTTTGACTCTTCCTGACAACACTTATCCGCGTTGTCAAATTGGACTTCGAACACCCAGTTTACCACTTATTATTTGGCATCCCTGAAAAATTTGGTTTCAATTGGTTACCGCATACGTAGGTAAATTTAATGGGATACTATTCTAAAATAAATGAAATATTTGAAGCGGACTTCATAAAAAGAAAGCCATTTATGCACATCTAATAGTCCATAATAATAATAATATATTTTATTATTGTGGACTATTAGATGGTATTATTATATATCTTAATATAGTAATACAAATACAAAATAAGTATAATATAAAAGCTTTGTGAAATTGGGGCACAGCTCACATTATGATTTTTATCATAAAGATTTTTCAACTCATCCTAATTACAAAGTAATTTATCTGTCACTGCTTTCTGTTTAAAATAATTTATAAAAATATTTAGAGACTGATGCAGTTTTTATCCTGCCGCACTCGTGGGGGCGTTGCAATATTGGAAAGAAACAACAAAAGAAAACACAACACGTTCACTTTGGTTCAGAATAATCTAATGTTTATTATTCGCTGAACAGAGTTTTATATCGGTAATAAACAAGTAAAATCAAATAAACACAGTAGCAAGTAGACGGTCGACGTACTTTTATAGGTGTCCAAAAAAACAATATATATAGTATCGGTGCGTCCGGTGTGGTACTGTCGGCGATGCGGTCAAAGCGGCGTCACAGAGATGACTTAACGTGTATTTGCGGCGGGTCGTAGATGGACGTGCGGCACTTGCTGGACTTTGTACCGTGGCGTATCGCACGCGGTGTTAGTCAGTCAAACTACCATATGCACGTAGAAGGGTGGCGGCTGATACAGGTGTCACGGGTCGCGGGGTTCCGTGTATAGAGAACGACGCGGTCCGTGTCAAGACCAACAGTTTAGTCTTGTACTGTAATACCACATTTTATATCAAAGTCCTGTTAAGGATTCTTAGTATAGTATTAAAATAAAAAATTAAATAAAATTTCAATGAAAAATAANTAAAAAATTAAATAAAATTTCAATGAAAAATAATTACAAAGAGTTAAAATCATAAATAACCTTACATTATGTCATAAAATGCAATTAACGTGCATAACAATAACAGTTTAATTATGTGCATCATACATTCATTTAATAATTATTAAAGATATAAAATACCACGCATATTTCAACCAATAGAAGCACTCAAAATTTACGCTATCTATCAGCATAATCGCCTGCGTCCAGTGCATCGTTTCCCTGCGTCCATTCATGATAAAAATTGGACTGCCAAAATTGTGTACGGCGTGGTCTATCTATGTGTATTTAATCTATGATAATGGTAACTAAATATGTACCATGGTATAACAAAACGCTATCTAGGAACGAGCAACATCTACCTTTCACCATATCCCCCCAGCCGTTTACACCGTCCGACCACTTACGGTAGGGTAAACCCATATCATGTGGATTAGGGGGGTATCCATATAATATACAACTACTAAAGTTACTATGGAATAACATAGTCAGAAGACGCAACTAATGGATATAATGAGACACAATGCATTGTTGAAATTTATAATAGAAGGAACAGTAGAAGGAAAGAACCGTAGGGGTACACCAAGATTAGAATTCATTTAACAGATAATAAAGGACCAAGGATGTGACTCATATGTGGAAATAAAAAGGAAGCCGGATAAGAGGGAAGACTGAAAGATGGTTGCAAACCAATCTATGGATTGAAACCACAGAGAGAGAGAGATTCCGGGTGTTGTTCATTTTTATGATCGAGACCCTCGCCTAAATGGTTGGCGACCCGAATTTCCTTCTGCGAGGGAGCCATGAGGGGTGGCGACTCCATAATCCGTTGTGTGGTCCAAGTCGTCACCTTTCAATATATATATTTTTTATAGATACATGAGATAATTATGTATTTTTTTTATAAATCTGACCTTTTAAATCCCACAGGGTCAGATTCAAAATTATAACTTTTCACGAAAAATTAACTTTTGATAGTGTTTTGGAAATACTGACACTTTTATATATATCTTAAATTAAACCTAATGTAATATACATTATACCAAAATAATTTTTCTTTATATAAAAACGTTATGTATGTTTCTTTCATTTGATATAAATTTTTTGAAAATATGACGTTTAAATTGCAGGGCGAATTCAAAATAAAAATTTTTATACAACATTTTATTTTGTTTTCGCTGTAAAAACGGACATCAATGTTAATAAAAAAAAAAACGGTAGCACAGGGGGTCGAGGCACAGTGTAGACAAGGCATAGATGGGACAAGTATAGATGACATTTGACAGTGATTAAAATCACTATCATAAGAAACGCTTCAATGCAAATCTGTAGGTAGTGTTTCATTTAAAGAAATTGGTGGATTATACCAAAAGCAACATCAACTCTTATTTCAATGATTATATCCTACTTAGTAGTTCTTTGATTTTAAAATATAATATATGAATAAATACTAATTATAATTATTAAATTTAGTATAAAAATAAAAAAGTATAAAAAATTTAATAAGTTTAATTTCTTATGCCTTATGACCTTTATTCTATGTCAATTAAATTATATAATATTCATGAAAGTCAATATATTCTCCTAATAAGATATTTTAAAATAAAATACAAAACCTAGGATTTTAATAGAAAAATAGCATATTTTTGAATACGATAGCCATTTGCGCATAGTAGATAGGTCGTCGGGTGATGTGTGTTTGTGGGGCCACCTCCCAAAATCCCTTCTCCTCTCTTATCACATAAAAATTGGAACCTCCACCTCCCACTTATTAAAAAAAAGCGTTATAGTTATAGGATAGTGTGATAAGTGTTTTTCAGTGAAGCTATTTTGATAACAGATTATATAATTTCCATTATTACATTATTATACTCATAGGATAGTGTGATAAGTGTTTATCAGTGAGGTTATTTTGATAACAGATAATATATATTATTTAGCGCCTCTCTTATATTTATTATGATTTAATGTACGACAGTACTGTTATTTGAGGAGTGTTACCTCCTCATTTTATACATTTAAACGCCTGAAAGCAGCACCTCCTCCTCCCACCAATATTTATTAGTTAATATTTAAATGTATATGGTGTATAAAAATTCATACATCATATGCGTATTGTTATTCTTCTATTCGAACTGTGTACTGAAAATTTATTGTTAGTGAAGTTATGACAGTTGAACGGTCAAATATTTGTAGAAAACATTATCGATTATATTACGAAGTCAGTTGATAAAAAAGTAAGTATTTTCAATGTTTATTTCTATAAAATGTCAATGTGACACATTTTTTTTATAAATGTATTAATATATTTTAGATGAACGTTATTAATAAAGATTGGTTAAATGGGATGAAAATTAAACACAGAAAGAATGTATCTGATCTTAAAGTAGGAGTTCAGTACAAGGTTTTGAGTTTGTACGTGATGAGATCAAAATATTCTAATGAAACACCAGTGGCTGAGGTGAAGCTTGACGACGAACCAACATTTCAAATTTATTTGCCAGCGAGGTTTTCATTTACTCGAGAAGATCTGGCAAAAGGAGTCGATAAAGATCTTAAGATTGTATCTAATGGACGAAAAGATCAAAGTTCGAGTTATGACATAATGTTTATATGAATTATATTTCATTTGTTTAATCGACACCTTAGAGTTTTCTCTATTTCAATATCATAATCATCATTATGTGTTATTTGTGTGATACTTGTGGAATGAAGTTCAATTTTTTGAAATCATTGATACGTCATGAGCAAACAGTACACAACAAAATTTTATATGGCTGCAGTTTGTGTTCGAAAAAATTTTCGAGAAAAGATAATTTCTCAAGACATGTTCAGCATACACACGGGTTAATAGGTTAGTATTGTAATATTTAAATCTCAAAAATTTATTTGTTATTAAAAATGTAATTAATAGGAACTGATAAAGTATTGAAAATGCGTTCTGTAAATATAGAAAATGAAATAAAATCGGTCTGTGTGAAAAATGTGGTTAATTACGGTGACAGCACCTCGAAAAATTTTAACGGTGAGCATACATAATAATATTATTCGCGTTTATTTTATATGAACTCAAATATTTTAATTATTAAAATGTAATTCAGTAGATAAAGGTAATTCGGTTAAGGAAAGCGAGAGAAAAAATACTAATACAAAATTTTCTAATACTAGAGACAGCGACGATGAGCTTTGTAAGTTGAAATAAAAAAAAATGATAAATTGTATTATTACTATTATTATTATTATATTAGTGCTAGAAGCTGCAAATAATATAGATGCAAATTCAATGGACGTTCAAGTGGTAATCGTTTATCCTGGTGATATCGAAAGTTGTTAGTATAAAATAATAAAAATAAAAAAACCAATAAATGTTATAGTCATATAATATTTTTTTAGGGATTGACCGGTTTTCAGAAGATATCGAGTTTGAGGATATTAGTAAGTCATAATTCAAAGTAATTAATTTTTAATAAATTTTTATCAAGTGGAATTTATAAAAAAATACTCTATATTATTAGGTCAAAATAACAAAACGATCGGAACTGGGATAGAACACGCGTATCACTCTAATCAATCAAAAACAAATAGTAAGATAAANTTGGAACTGAGATAGAACACGCGTATCACTCTAATCAATCAAAAACAAAATTTGTTATTTAATAGTAAGATTATAATGTGAATTTGAATAATATAATACATAAATTAATAACGATATTAATTATATTTCAGATAATTGTGTAAATATTTCGCGTGCGAAAAAAGTTCAATCGATTTTTTCGGAGAATATCAATGTACATAGAATAGAAAACAGCAATCCATGCTCCATAAATGAATTAATCAAACAAAACAGTAATAGCATTTATGATGTATTTGAAAATGCTATAAGAACACATACAGCTGTAAAGACATTTTTAGATCTAGTTACTACGTATGAAAAAATAATTTTAAGCAATAATAATGTAAACACACCCGTTATTACTCAAACACTTAGTATTTCCCCATTTATTTTAACACCGTCGAGTAGTATCCCCGAGTGGGTTACTACTATTACACATCTACTACAGAAAAAGTCCGAAGAGGTAGAAACTCAAGGCAGTGGGTGGGTATTCAGAGATGTTGTTTTCTTAGATATTAATACTTTCACGTATGATCCATTAAGGGGTGGGTGTCATTTTAATTTACCAAAAAAATTATTTCAAAAAAATGCAATTGTAAATATTAAATGTAGGGAGGAAGATTGCTTTTATTGGAGTGTGGTTGCTAGTTTATTTCCGGTTCAGTCGCGTAATGTACAAAACTGTATTATAATGTGGATGCGACTAAACCAGAGTCGTATCCACATTATAATACAGTTTTGAATACTCGAGGTTTGCGAATACCTTTACTTCTAACCGACATAAGAAAATTTGAAGAAAAAATTGATATAAGTGTAAATGTTTACACTTACATCGGTGAAAAAATTACGGGTCCTCTACACTTGACCAGAAATAAACGTAGCAACCACGCAAATTTACTTTATTTAGATCAAAAAGACAAACCTTTCGGACATTTCTGTTGTATTTCGAACTTAGAGCGATTAGTTTCCGTTCAACTTTCAAAACATAAATCTCACAAATTTTTATGTGATGGCTGTCTGTTATTCTTTTATTCAGAAGCAAAACTACTCACTCACCAACTCGAAAACTGCATGAAGGTTAAAACGGTTCTACCGAAACCCCCCAAACACATGGTTAAATTTCAAAATTTCCATATGCAATTCCCCGTGGAATTCGTAATTTATGCTGATTTTGAATCAATTCTAACACCTATTGCTACATGCGATCCTCAACCTGATATTTCTTATACCAATCAAATTAATATACACGATCCCCACAGTTTTTCATATCATATTAAATGTTCTTATGATGAAAATTTAGATCGCATGGAAGAGTACCGGGGGGATAATTGCGTGAAGATGTTTATTTCTAGGCTTAGGGAAGATATTATCCGTATAAGCGACATTTATTCTAACCCTATACCAATGGAAGCGTTATCTATTCAACAACAATATAATCACCATACAGCAACAACGTGTCATATTTGTAATGGTGAATTACGCTTCCATGATAAGGTAATGGATCACTGTCACTTAACGGGTAAATATCGTGGTACGGCGCATAGAGATTGTAACCTGAAATGTTCGGTTCCATCTTTTGTCCCTATAATTTTACATAATATGCAAAATTACGATTCTCATTTTATTATTACGGAACTCGGTTTTAGTGATGATGACGAAGGAATTGAAGTTATAGCTAAAACCAATGAAAAATATATGTGTATAAAAAAAACTGTAAAAACGACAAATAACAACCGGATAACTATTAAATTTATAGACTCATTAAATTTTTTACCATCATCATTGGAATAATTAGCTGAAACTTTAATTCCTGAGCAATTTAAAATTACTAGGAAAATGCATTCTAATGATAAAAACTTTAAGTTAATGTGTCGTAAGGGAGTGTTCCCATAAGAGTATGTAACTGATATGAATGTACTGAACGAATGCATGTTACCACCTAAAACCGCGTTCCGTAGTATATTAAATATGAGTGACATAACAGACGAGGATTACGCCCATGCAAAAAAAATCTGGGAGAAATTTAATTGTTCAACTTTGGGGGAGTATTCTGATATATATTTAAAAACTGATGTTTGTCTTTTGGCTGATATTTTCGAAAATTTCAGAAGTGTTTGTTTAAAAAGTTATGGGCTTGATCCTTGCCATTATGTTACTTCCCCGGGGTTAAGTTTCGACGCTATGAAGCGAATTACTGGGGTTAAATTACAACTGATGACCGACATGGAGATGGTTAGCTTTATTAATAATGGGATTCGAGGGGGAGTATCTCAATGTTCATCTCAATATAGTAAAGCTAATAATAAATATGTTGATGACTACGACCCGTCGAAGCCATCAACATATTTATTATATCTCGACGCTAACAATCTCTATGGTGCAGCACTTAGTCAACATCTTCCCTATGGAAATTTTGAATGGATGCCACAATCTGAGATTGACGTTTTAGACGTTTCGTCAATCGAGGACGATAGTGATTGGGGAGTAATCCTAGATGTAGATTTAGAGTATGGTGAGCATTTACATAATGATCATTCAGACCTTCCCTTATGCCCCGAAAACATTATACCCCCAGGTTCTAAATTTAAAAAACTAATTCCAAATTTATTCGATAAGAAAAACTATATTGTTCACTATCGAACGTTGAAACAGGCCACTAGCCTCGGTTTAAAAATTAAAAAAATCAATAAGGCATTGAAGTTTAAACAGTCGGCTTGGATGAAGGTTTATATAGATTTGAATACTAGAAAACGAACCGAATCCAAGTCGGCTTTTGAAATAGAGTTTTACAAATTAATGATAAATTGTATATTTGGAAAATGTTTAGAAAATCCAGAAAAAAGGATTGATGTTAAAATTGTCACAAAGTGGGAGAATATTGGAAGACGTTATGGGGCTAGTGTGTTGATAGCGAAACCTAACTTTGATAGTGTAACAATATTTAATGAAAATATGGCAGCCATCCATTTGAAAAAAGTGGAAATTGTATATGGTAGACCTAGCTATGTAGGGTTTTCAATTTTAGAAATTTCAAAGATTATTATATACGATTTTCATTATAATTTTATGAAAAAAATGTATGGCAACAAATGTAAATTAGTATATACGGATACCGACTCTCTATGTTATGAAATACAAACAGTAGATGTGTACGATGATGTTAAAAAAAATATTCATAAATTTGATACCCGCTTGTCAATAAAAAAGTAGTAGGGTTAATGAAAGATGAAATGGGAGGACGAATTTTAAATAGTTACATTGGGATATGTAGTAAAACATATTTGATGCGTAGTGGGAATGACATTAAAAAAAAAAATAAGGGATTAAAAAAAGGGGTATTAAAGAAAACGATAAGCAAAAAAGATTATCTAGATTGTATTACTTTTCACAAAAAAAAAATTCTGCGTAGCATCATAGGCGTCATTTCAATATTTTATCTGGGGTGGCAAATTTAATTAGCCTAAATGACCTTTTTTTTTTTACAAAAATAATGTTTAAAGATGACAAGCGGTATCAAAAACCAAATTCCTATGATACACTACCTTGGGGTCATAAAGACATCCCCCCCTCCTCCCCTGATAATTATAAAAATTAAAATTAGGTTTTGTGTGTCTCTATAATTATTTTCTCTCTATTATTTGTAAACTTTTCAAATGCTGCTTTTAAATTTTCACCCTCTGTCTTTATACATTACTCTAATAATATTTTTTATTTTAAGTTAACTTTTTAATCTTTGAAAATATTTGTTAATTGTTGTAAATATTGTTTTCTAATATCATCTATCTATGTAAAAATATTTAAAATGTGTATGCTTGTATAATCTATCTTTGTATTGATTTAAATAAATATTTGATTTAAAATAAAACTAAACTTAGTATCTAAACTTATTATCTACTTATTAACTAGATTGTTTGTGGTGATGATGATTTTTGTGTTTTTGTATTGAGTTTCTTTTCTACAGTCTTTGGAGTCTCTTCATTTAATGTACACTCAAAAATAAGAATCATTACAGACTTGTATTCTAAAAAAATCAATAATAGTTTAAATAAAATTAAATAATAATATTATTTTTTAACATGTTTAATTAAGTGTAGGATAATAATAATAATAATAGTATTATACTTATGATTAAATTGATGTATAATAATTAATTCGAGGTGGAGTCTACTATGTTATACTGTTTTATATTTGTAATATCAATCTACCTATATATATATATATATATATAGAAAAAATGCTTGATAATTATAATAAAATTGATTTATTTTATAGTTACTCGAATATTCTGTGATAGTCTATAATGAATTATTAAATGTTATTGATAATGAAAATATGTAGATACTATAATTACTTACATTTCATTGACATGGAGAATACTTTTTTACTTTCATAATACAGATGAGGGGTGTTTTGCTATTTCAGATGTATGTTATTAACCTACCTATTCAGAGTAATAATGGTTAATAATTATAATAAAATTAATTTATTCCATGGTTACTTACGATTATTTTTTTATATTTTTCTTCGTTAACCTATGGAAAACATATTAAATCTTATTTATAATGAAAATATATAGATTTTACTTACTTTTTATATCCGCGTAGAATATAAATACTCGTAAGTATTCTAATTGTTTATATAAATCATTATAAAAACATTCTTCATCGTCAAATTCATTATTCCAACTCCTAACGTCTTCTGAAACACGATAATAATTTTATTACTATTTAAAACAGATTTATAATTTTTTTTTTACTTACTTATCATTTCTTGGTAATCTGATGTCTTTACATCATCAACCCACGTTCCCTGTGTTATTAGGTCCAATAAATCTTCTTCCGTATCAAAATTCAACCATGGATGTGCTCCGAGATGAAGACAATTTCCATTAACTGATTCATTATTTAACTGATTCTATTATTATAATAAAAACATGAAAATTTTTTAAATATGTATAAAATATTAAACACATACCGTTTCATTTAACCAAGTTTGATGTTGGCCCGCATCGATCATCGAATATGATGCAGGATTTTCTATTTCATTAACTATATTTAAATAATAATCATCCATATTCCAAAAATCTGGTAATAATTCTTGAGACTGCGAAAATATATATATTTTATTATAATCGCATAAATAAAATTATTTTTAAATTTCTTACCATTGTTTGCGAAAGTGGTTCAATTTTCATCTCGTTTATTATATCTGTGAATTCTTCTTCGCCAAGTAGTGGAGACAGCGGTTCACTTTTCATATTATTTAGAATTTGTAAAAATTCTTCGTTGTTAATACTTTGTGATGTCATGTTGCTTATAACGCTTTTGATCGAATGACTGTGGTGATCACACATACTCTTATACAATCTTACAGTAGAATTTCAAAATGATGAATTAGCATTTCTTTTGACACTGCGATTGGTTTAAAATTGGTTGACGTTTTAAAAACAATTGCTGGAATGGGTACTGTGAGATATATATCAGTTTTTAAATTTACTTCGTTATATTTTTGTCTTAAAATTTGCTGATTATGTGTTATTTAAATGCAAACTGTTTAAATCATAAAATAACCAACTTGCGTATTATATATACATGCATTTAAAATATTATTTCAGCATTTTGTCTTATCTAGCAGCATTTAAATTTTTTTCTTTTTAAGTGATATGTAATCATAGAAACGATGACTGGAGTTATAGAAATATGAATTAAATTTATCGTATCTGCTATTGTGACAAATTAAATTTTCTTGATAATATACTCATCAAGTATGCAGTTATAACTATAAGTTACATATTTTATTTTCATAAAGCATTTAATAATGTGTGTTTAATATCACAATAAAGAATGAGACGTTATACAATAGTTATATATCTCACAAATTTGTTGATTGTATATATTATTTTGATAGAAAATTTTTTTTAAACAATTATCAAACAGTTAGTATATATAATAATTTTTATTTTAATTAAAAAAATGTTTTACAATACAATTATATCATTTCAAAATTGTTTACAATTATTGTTAATAATATTTTTTTATTTTGTTAACCAAATAAATCGTTACAATTTTCCCATATTTGAATTTGATCATTAAATGGATTAGATAAATCATTATTTATACGGTGAACATTATCATCTTGTACATTTTCGTTGTGATTTTCCAAATGATCTTGTTGGTCATCGTTTTTACTAAAAATTTTAATTTTATTTAGTATTTTTAGCATAAATAATTTAGTGAAATATCTACCTTATTTTTTTATTTGTCATTTGCTTAACATCCTGATTGGTTTGATGTTTGAAATCCTCAATGAATTGTTCCCATATACGTTTAATGATACATTTATAATCGAAGGTAACTATTTCTTTGTACAGTGCTGTTGATGTCTTTGGCAATAACGATATATCCATACTTTTCACGATGGAATACATTAAATTTTCGGGTAATACTAAAAACTTGTTTATAACCAAATCCTTTACTTTTTCGTAAACTTCTTTACTTTGCATGTACAATAAGTTACATGTTTCATATTTCTCTTTGGTTACTTCCAGGAGACATGACTTCATTTCTTTCAACGCATATAGATTTTCTTCGGTCAATGATATACGCCCCATTTTTTCTTCTTCGCTACCTTTACCCGATATTGATAGATAACTTTTCGAGAAACATTTCGATTTTACAATGTTAAAAACGGAATTCAAATAAATTTTTGATTTACACGATTCATCCATAAATGAAATAACTTCATCGATTAATTGTAAAAAATTAATAAATTTATCGACATCCATCCATAAATACATACTTGGAGATAATATTATCATTACGGGAGAGTATCGGTCGTTTATCCACGTGCAACCGATGTGTATAAATTTTCTCTCTGCAAAACTTAAGTTGAATACAGAAGTTCCTAGCACAGCAAAGTCGGGTTGAGATGGATATCGCATAGTCATTTTAACATCTTTCACTCCTGCAGCCATTTTCATCATGTTCATAATAATACTACACTATTTACTTAACTGAATATGCACGAGAAAGAAAAAAATGGTAAACAATATGATTGAATCTCCACGATGGATCGTGTTTTATAGATAATTTTTATAATAAGAGGGGGATAATATTAAATAGGATAGGATTTAAAATGTTGATT